TATTATGCCCTCTATGCTATCGCATGCTATCGAAAGGCCGGAATCTGGCTTCTCTGCATAGCACATGCTCGCTCGCTAGTGCGCATCAATGAAATTAACAGTAATAGTGAGAAAAAGACGTTTATATTGATACACAGTGCAATCATCAGATAAACCAACAGTGCGATACGTTGTCTCAATCAGTGAATATTTCCAGTTTGCAGTGCAAGCACTGATTCGAAGTGTATTATTGAAAAGCAACCGGTGTAACAAAGTCGAGGTTATAACCCTGCCCACTGCGAATAAAATTAAAAACAGGTATTTATATTTTATGTTTACATATTTTATGTTCTTGATTTTTGATCTCTTTTGTGGAATAAAATATCAAAATAACAATATACATGATTAATCGATTTTAAGGTTATGCTTATTATGTGTTATATATTTTATGTATGTGATATTATTTTATACATATGCTTGTGTTGGAGATGTTCATAGGAATAATGCGATTATGGACGTGCTTCTTTAAATGTTATTTATAATAGTTTTTATTTGTTTTGTAAAATTTTCGCTTATTTCTAAATAGAAAAGAAGTACATACAATGTCCATTCCATGGAAAAATACGTTCCAAAAATATTCGGAACGACACTTGAGACGTTTAATTGCTAAAGAAACTCAATTTGATTGCATGTTATTATCACCAAATATACCAGGATGCTCTCAGTGGCCTGATACACAAAATGATGTACATATTGAAAAAGACGTAACTGTACAGTATGTATTACATATATGCTATGATATACAGAATGAGACACAAACTTTTAAGCTATATTCTCAAAATATATTTAAAGAAAATATATTTTTGAATATATTATTTAAACAAGCAGTTTTTAACATTCTGCAGAAAAATGATATATGAAATTATACTTTATTAGTTCAGATTTTTTAATATTTTATTTATTGATATATTTTGACACTTAATATCAAATATCTAGTAACATATTCATTTTTGAACTATATTAAACATGACTGTTCGAAATATTCATAAACAAAAAAATGAAATAAATCCATTAATATCAAGAAAATATTTAATTAGTTGTTTGGAAAATATATACGTTTTGTAATATCTAAAAATAAATATTTTACAAGATATTTTACATTATAAATATTAAAATATACTAGAATATAAAATACAGAGTCATCCCCATATAACATAAAAAAATTTCAATAAATTCTAAAAGATCCGCAAACAAAAGTCATCCCTATTTAATACAATAGATCATCACTATTTATAATAATGAGAAAAGAGTTTATAATATTAATATATAGCCCATCATGTATATTAATTGTGTATCATTATAAAGGTTACTTTCTAGTTCTTTTGCTTCAACGACTAATTCATTTTATTTTTTTATAATTTATTAACTTATTTACAATTATAATTTATTAACTTATTTTTTAATAATATTAAATAAAATATTATTTACAATCTGAAATATATTTAAGTTCACAATTTAATTTTACGTGTAATTTTACGTGTTTATAAAATGTATAATCGAACATTTTAAAGTAAGAAAGTTATATAACTTTTAATTTTTTTAATTATGTGTAAATAAAACACACTATAGGTTATGCCTACAAATTATGTCAACCTTGTTTTAATAACATATATCATTAACATAACATGTATCATTAGATTAGGTTCATTTTATATTTGAAATATTTTGTAGTAAACATAAACTACAATTTTTTGTAACACTGCTTTTATTAATGAACAATTATTATTTATTATATTATAAAGTTACTATATATTATCAAGTTAATGTAAATTAATATATTATTAATGGCCAGATTATTTTTCCTAACTGTTAATATAATTTTTTTAGTTTTATTTGTATTTATTGTGTGTATATTTATTTATATGTAGGAAAATAATGCAGAGAGATAATATTCATTCAGAAAAAGTGTTGAATGAATCAATTCAATGTGACGATAACATAGTACTTACCAAGAATAATGATAGCAATAGTGACAATACAAGTTACAATAGCAAAGACAGTTCAAATAACTTGGATATTTCTTTGTCTACAAAAATATATGAAAGAAATGTAGACAATGAAGATGAATTTAAACATGACATCCAAAAATGGGCTGTTAAATTTAGGATTCCCCATAATGCTATCAATGCACTATTATTAATTTTAAATAAGTATACGAGTTGTAATTTTCCAAAAGATAGCAGAAACTTGTTACATACGCCTAGATGGACAAATATTGTGCCTATAAGTGGAGGTCATTATTATCATTTCGGCTTGAAGAGAGCAGTCGAAGAATTGTTAAATAATCGCGAAAAGATTACAAATAATGAAACTGTTTGTCTTTTAATTAATATTGATGGATTGCCATTATCAAAAAATATTGAAGGCTCAATTTTTTGGCCAATTTTATGCTCAGATAACATTTCGAAACAAGTTTACATTGTTGGATGTTTTTGCGGAAAAAATAAACCAACACATGCTGAAGAATTTTTACGACCATTTGTTGATGAAGCTATCGAATTAAACCGAGACGGTTTTTTATATAACAATGTGCAAGTTAAAGTTTGTATCTCTGCTTTAATTTGTGACGCTCCTGCTGCAGCATATGTTTTATCAGTTAAACAACATACTGGTTATAATTCTTGTCGGAAATGCACTATTCAAGGTGAATGGATCGAATCAAAAGTTTGCTTTCCAGGAACATTACAAAATGCTCTAAGAACTGACGACAAATTTGCAAATGAGGAATACAAAGACCACCAAATTGGAAAGTCTATTTTAAATGAAATTCCCAATTTTGGATTAATAACAAATACACCATTGGATTATATGCATTTAATTTGTCTAGGAATTATGAAAAAGTTATTGTGGCTTTGGTTAAAAGGTCCTAATAATGTACGATTAGGCTTACGTATAATTGCAAAAATATCAAAAATATTACAATTGTCTCAAAAAAGGTGTCCAAATGACTTTGTTCGAAAACCACGAGGTCTTAAACATGCTCTACAATGGAAAGCAACTGAATATAGACAATTTTTATTATATACTGGACCAATAGTATTAAAAGATTATTTACCAAAAAATATGTACGTTCACTTTCTTACGTTACATGTTGCTATTACAATTCTTGTTAATCCTAGTTTGGTTACAGAATATTTGGATTATGCACAGAACTTATTAGAACATTTTGTTATATCGTTTTCTATTATTTATGGTAAAGAATATGTTACTTATAATATACATAATATCTTGCACATATGTACAGACGTTGAGAAGTTTGGTTCTTTAGATATGTTTAGTGCATTTCGCTTCGAAAATTATATGTCAACTATAAAGAGGCATTTAAGAAAAAATGAGAAGCCTCTTGAGCAGTTAGCACGAAGACATGAAGAAATAATACGTGCAGATTATAAAAGAACACTTAAATGGCCTTTGCAAAAAGATAAATTTTCACTTAAGGATGTACATTTTGATGGACCACTTTGTGAAGAAATTGAAGTAAAAATACAATATAAACGATGTTTTAACAATTTGTATGCGATAAATTGTAAAGATAAAAGAAACAATACCTGCATTTTAAAGGATGGTACAGCAATAGTAATTTATAATATTATAGAAAGCTGTGATAATAGAATTTACATAATTGGAACCAAGTTAATACCGATAGGAAACGTGTATTCGTCTCCATTATTATCGAGTACGCTTCATATCACAATCGTGATGAAAGATGAAACATTATGTGTATATCCTATATCAGAAATAGCAGGGAAATTATGGCTAATGCGCTACAAGAATAAATTAATTATTTTTCCGCACATACTGCCTGACATAATAAAAATATAATCTTAACACGTATGTACTTGCTTGTTCGTTTGCATGCAAGGTATTTTCAAGAATGTAAATATAATTGGTATTTATATCATTTTTACATAGTGTGAAGATATTTATTATATAATTAAAAAATGTAAAGTTAAAATTGTTCCAGTGAGATATTTGAAATTAAGTATGTTACATTTACGTTATTAAATCTAAATACTTATATTAATTTTAAATGTTGCATGTATATATTTCTACCTTTTTGTTTTTCTTTGTTGGTTCTTTCCTTTTATTTATATTAACTTGTTATATACTCAGGTAAATATATTATTGATATTAAAAGTAATAATGTAGAGTTGAGAGAGAGTGCATGAGCAATGTGCATGCTGAGAGCATGAAAAAAAGCTCTGTGTGTAAATATTCTTTTACTGTATATTCTTTTATTAAATATAATCGCTGATTAACACCTATAATTTATCTCGTAACTTTATCCAACAATAATATTAATTGTTTGTGCAGATTTCATGGCCACTAAGTATAGACAAGCATTACGAAGTTCTTGGACAAATAATTGTTTTGAACAACTAAATTGCAATTGCAGAAGCAATAACTGTCAGCTGAACCAATCACGTCAATTAAAAGTAAAAGTACTCAAATTCGCAATTCAAATCTGAAGATCTTTACTATTGATAATTTTTTTAAATGAAATGGATAATTGTTTAAATAAATAATTTAATTATTTATCGAATAACTTATATAAATACTTATATAAATTATATATATTATATAATTACTTATATAAATGATATATATTATATAATTATAAATTATTTGGTAAATAAATATATACATATTTCTATATTTCTTATTTTCCTTTAGCATCTATAATATACATATAAATACCTCGAATTCTTATATACTATATTACTTGCAATAATATATTTAATTATATTTATGATTTTTATTAAATAGTGCCTTTTTTCATTCATACATTGGAACATGGGAAGATTTTCGATAGTGGAGTTCGAAGATGGAATCCAACTTATTCCCACGTCTTGGATATTTAGCGATAATAAAAAATGTTATTGGCCATATTACAAAAAACAAGAAAAAATAAATCAAGCTATTTTTAATGAAGAATATCCGGACAATGACAAATGGTCATCATATGATATATTACGAATTTTTGGTACAGCAGGTATTATATTTCTTTCAATTTACAGTTTAAATTTTTAGTAAATGTCCTTTTTATGTTTTTGTGTATAATGATGTTTATGTTATTTTTACAATATTTTTATCTTTATATTTACCCTTCCTCCATGACACTGGTGGAAAAATGTCACCAAAATTGATGTTTCAAGAAAACGAATTTGTACTGGTCTTTATACATATCTGTATTGTAACGATGCGTTAAATGTATGTTATATAGACTTTATAATTTTCTAATTCGCAAATTTTTATTTCTTTGGTCGATGTTTCACTTAAATTTTGACTTTGTGAGCTAATCCGAACGTCTGAAAAGACAGAGAAATTTTCCACCAGAGAAATTAATTTTTTTCTATCCTATTTCTCACAAAACATCTTTCTCAGTTCGATATTAACAATATATATTTTATTAAATACTATATTATTTCAGATACATATACAAACGGCATGCGAAAACTGAAATTGGCTGAACAAATTTCTGATATTGAGTCTGGGAAAGATGATATTGACAAAAAAATGTGTAGACGTAATCGGGCAAAAAGAAGATTCACTTCTAGTTCTGAGGAGGAAGATTTTGAAAATGAAGCTACTGAAAAGGAAGATTCTGAAGAGAAATCACGTACAACTCAAGAAATCTGTAAAAAAAAACCCAGTAAAATTCCGCCTTTGCCCACATTATCAATTGTAAAACAGACACAGACGCTACCAGAAAAGAAAAAAAAGATATTTCACAATCAAACAAGCAATACTGATAATAATTCATCATTATATAATTTTAATAAATATAGTACGAAGGAATCTTCCAGTAGCGTGCAATCTGATATTTCATGTACGGGAAAACAATCTACATCATCATGTAAAACAGGTAAATATTTAGTCATAGTTAAGTATAGTTAAAACAAAATAAACATTTTTTACAAAATTTTAGGCGAACAAATTATTGAATGAAAAGAGTGAATCTGCAAAATAATTATTTTTTATTATTCATTATAATCATTAAGTTATTTCCATTTGTGTACTTTTTGAATGTTTGGATAAAGCACAGAATAGAGAATTGTTTATTCATATCATTTTAAATACTTTTGCAAATAATATATTTCTCAAGAAATTTTAATATTTTAATATTATGTAAAATATGCATTACAATGCTCAAAATCGGCATGTATTTTAATATTATATAAAATATGCATTACAATGCTCAAAATAAAATATATATATTATCGCGCCGATTGGTCGTTCCTATGTGTTCATATAAAGGATTTAAAATTTATTATGCAGATTTTCAAACAGAAATACTTCGCAAACTGAACATTATTATTCATCAAGTAAAAATGGTGGACAAGAGACTGGAGATTCACGAAGAGCAATGTCGTTTCAGCCTTGACAGACATGAAGATGATATTCTTCAAGATGAAGAAATAGGATTACCTTTGCATAATGAATTGGCATTGGATATTTTAGAAACAAAATTGAAGAACAAAGAATTTTTTGAAAGCATGGTATGTTATTTCTTACCTTTAAATATTTTTAAATATTGTTTTTAAATATTTAAATTTGTATTTTTAAATATTTAAATATTTAAATATTGTTATTATATTTGCTCGCGATGCAAAGAACATTTTGAATATTTAGAAAGTTATATATTTTAAATAGAATATCTTTATATATATATACAAATTTAATATTTTATAAAGTGTACATGTTATTTATAAAATCATAAAATAAGTGCATTTAGCAGAACGTTTTTACAACTGTTGGAAATTTTCTGAATTGAGATTGGATTATTTTTTTAGACCTAGATAAATCTAATCTCAACACAGAAAACTTTCAACAGTTGTAAAAAAATGTTCTGCTAAATCACTGTTAAATTAATATTTATCAATATGTATTTTTTAAATTATTTATTTTATATCATAGGTATATACATTAAAAGGCTTGGGAGGTTTCGATGTGCATTCTTGCACGATTAATTTATTGAAAAAGTTGATAACTAATCCCTTGGCTGAAATGTACAGCATGGCTGGAGCAAAAAGGAAAAAGGCTTTTCAAGATTTGATTTTGTATAAAATCATACTTAGTAAGTGTTATATTATTACAGATTTTTAAGACTTAACTTCTCCTTGATTATGTGTCAGCATGTCATATTGGTATTAATATGTTACTAATTTTATGGAACTACAATAGAAACTGTCCGCGTTCATTATAAAGATACGACTGAGACGGAGATTGCCCAAATCATCGCAAAATGGCTAGTACAAGCCAAAGCTCGTCGCGAGAGAAAGTATGTACATAATTTTTTTTATATATAAATAAAATGTGTACATAATGTATAATTATACAATTCATTAATGTAATGTGTTTTTAGAAAATGTCGATATATTGAAGAAAACATAGATAAAGCGACCTCGTCATCATCACATAACTCATAATAATCTTTTATAATTATCAACTATCATATATGTATGTAACTTTTTATTATAATAATTAATTAATAATGGAGAGTAATATATATATATATATATATATATATATATATAATATTTTTTAAATAAAACATCTTTATACAAATTTAACATTTTATTATGAAGTTATTTATTATGAAATCGCATAATATATATGTATAGATGTGTTTAGTAGAACATTTTATTTACAACTATTAAAAGTTTTCTTAAATTGAGATTGGATTAATTTTTTAGACTTAAAAAAATCTAATCTCAACACAGAAAACTTTTAACAGTTGTAAAAAAATGTTTTACAACTACTAAGCAACCATTAAGTCAATATTTATCAATATTAAATCAATATTAAACCAATATTAAATCAACATTAAATCAATATTAAATAAATGTTTTTTTGAATATTGAATTGCTACATTTACAAGACATTGCAATTCAGCGGACATTAGACGTTTCTGTAATTTATTTTCAACGTTGAATCTATATTTTATAACGTTGATGCAACATTGCAAAATTGTATTGCAATGTTTCTGAGATGTTTATTCAATGTTTATGTGCTGTATGGGGAAGGAATGACGTGTATTGTTTTGGGGTTGTCGCAATAATTAACGAAATATTAAATAAAAAAGATCGACTAATCTGCGTGAGTAAAAGCGCGCGGCGACGAGAGTCGTCCCACCGTAATCCGGTACTACGAGCGCGGCGAAGCGGTGGGCGGGTCGCTCTCCGAGACATGATGATGGTTTGCGATATATCGCAATACCGCGCCGAAAAATGACCCCTCCTCCCTTTTCGTGGCGAGAAAATGATGCGCTATCATTTCCACACCACCTTGCGGTAGATAGCATGGTGCACTTTTTTTATAGTGGTTTCCCCCATAGGCCTATTCCACTCTCAATTTAAAAATTATTCAAAATGCCATTTATTATACGCTGAATATTTCGTAAATGTAAAAAATTAATGGACAGTACCTTTACAAAAATTGATTCGTGGTTGAAAATCCCTCGATAAAATGTATTGCACACGTTGATAATGTGATACGATGATAAAATTCTTCAAGAATCCTTTCTTCATCTCGTACATGAAGACGCATTCCTGCACCGGTTATCCCGACATTATGCACCCAGTTTCACGTAATTGCTGCACAACACGTAAAATTGTACGTCCACTTGGTTTTTGTGCACGCCCGGGAAATCGTTCCGCGTAAATTGCGACCGCGCGATGAGTATTTTTTCCCGCTAGCCCGTATGCCACAATCATGTCCGTATATTCCTGCGAAGTATACTCCATTTTCACTGGTAATTAACTGCGCGAACATAAGATTTTTACTAAGCGTCTTAGCTCTCGCACGTTGTTGCCAGACTGCGTACGCCAGCAGCACGCAACTACAACTGAGCGGACATGTGAGTGTAATCATAGTGCGCAGGCGTCGAACTCACACGTACGCTTACACTCACATGTCCGCTCAGCTGTCAGCTGTAGTTGCGTGCTGCTGGCGTACGCAGTCTGGTAACAGCGTGCGAGAGCTAAGACGTTTTAATAAAAATCTTGTGTTTGCGTAGTAAATTAACAGAGAAAATGAAGTGTACTCTGCAGGAATATACGGATATGATTGTGGCATACGGACTAGCGGGAGAAAATACTTATCGTGCGGCCGCAATTTACATGGAATCATTTCTCGGGCGTGCACGAAAACCAAGTGGCCGTACAATTTTACGTGTTGTGCAATAATTATGTGAAATTGAGTGTCGTGCATAATATTGGAATAACCGGTCCAGCAGTGCGTCTTCGTGTACGAGATGAAGAAAGGATTCTTGAAGAATTTTATCATCGTATCACATTATCAACGTGTGCAATACATTTTATCGAGGGATTTTCAACCGAATCAATTTTTGTAAAGGTACTGTCCATTAATTTTTTACATTTACGAAATATTCAGCGTATAGTAAATGGCATTTTGAATAATTTTTAAATTGAGAGTGGAATAGGCCTATAGAATAGGGGGAAACCACTATAAAAAAAGCGCACCATGCTATCTACCGCAAGGTGGTGTGGAAATGATAGCGCATCATTTTCTCGCCACGAAAAGGTGAGACGGGTCATTTTTCGGCGCGGTATTGCGATATATCGCAAACCACCATCATGTCTCGGAGAGCGACCCACCCACCGCTTCGCCGCGCTCGTAATATCGGATTACGGTGGGACGACTCTCGTCGCCGCGCGCTTTTACTCACGCAGATTGGCCGATCTTTTTTATTTAATATTTCGTTAATTATTGCGACAATCCCAAAACAATACAGGTCATTCCTTTTTAATTCTAGCCAATCTACTTCTTTATTTCATTAAGGTCGAAAATTGACGGACACCCTGTATATATATACATACAGGGTGACCCATTTTAACTTAGGCAGCCAAATAACTCGAAAAATAAGCACACTACGAAAAAATGGTTAGAATCAAAATTTCGTCATTTCGAGAGGGACGTACAATGACGTTAAAATCAGCCCCCCCACCCCTCCTCCTGGGCGGTGAGGGGGGCAAGTTTGAAATCTTAAATGGGAACCCCTATTTTTTATTGCATATTCCTGTAGCTTATCTCGAGAGCTTTCCAAAACACTATAATTAAGTACCTTTTTATTAAGTACTTTTTGAGTTATAAGGCTTGAAATAATTTCTTAATTTTACATAAACCATAAAATATCTAGTAAACCATTCATTTTTCGATTATCTTACCTTCATACTTTTATGTACAAAATAATGAGAGGAATCAATTGGTGTAAAGAAAACATACAGTTGTTTTTAAGAAAAAATATGGAATTGTTAATTGCAAATTACATATTTTTTTTTAGAAACAACTATGTGTTTTCTTTACACCAATTGATTCCTCTCATTGTTTTGTACATAAAAGTATGAAGGTGAGATAATCGAAAAATGAATGATTTACTAGATATTTTATGGTTTATGTAAAATTAAGAAATTATTTCAAGCCTTATAACTCAAAAAGTACTTAATAAAAAGGTACTTAATTATAGTGTTTTGGAAAGCTCTCGAGATAAGCTACAGGAATATGCAATAAAAAATAGGGGTTCCCATTTAAGATTTCAAACTTACCCCCCCTCACCGCCCAGGAGGAGGGGTGGGGGGGCTGATTTTAACGTCATTGTACGTCCCTCTCGAAATGACGAAATTTTGATTCTAACCATTTTTTCGTAGTGTGCTTATTTTTCGAGTTATTTGGCTGCCTAAGTTAAAATGGGTCACCCTGTATATATATATATACATATATATATATACAGGGTGATTCAAAATAACTCCTGTATATATATATATATATATATATATATATATATATATGCAGGGTGAGTCATTTTAATCAATACACTCGAATATCTCGAAAACAGCATTCTTCAGAAAGAAATGTTCCAAACAAAAATTGTAGGGTGTGAAGGGGGACATAAGATGATAGCATTGGTTTGACCTTGGAAAGTCATTTGAAGGTCACATAAAAGTCACCTTCAATTTCTTAAATTGAACCCACTATTTTTCATTACATATTCTTGTAGCTTATCTCGAGAGCTTTCCAAAACACTACAGACAAATGTTTTTTCATTAAGTACTTTTTGAGTTATAAGGCTTCAAAGTTTGCAGTACTTCGATATAAAATGCAAAATATCTCGTAAAATATTTAGTTTTCGGTAATCTTACCCTAATACTTTTATGCACAGATAATGAGACAAAACTATTGGTGCAAAGAAAACGTATGATTGTTTATAATAAAAAGTGCATTGCAAATTACACATTTTTTATTAGATGATAACATGACATACATCAACCTCTAATGCAGGAGTCAAAAGTTAGCTATATCGCAGTGCCTAAAATGAAATGATGGACGTTGCCCGCAATATTTCAAGTCGGAAAATCTCGTATGATATGTAAATATTTACATTAAATCATACATCGTTATATTTGTTTCAAACAGCGCTACAACTTTTATTATATCAAAATATCTACATTATTATAAAAAAATTATGTATTTCTCTCCGTTTTTCAATACAGATAAATTTTATAATCAATCACTATACTCACAATAAAGTTTAGTTCAAATCATTTAATTTCATATATATTTGTTATGGTCTATCTCTTTTAGTTTAAAAGATGAAAGAGGATGGCCACTTCTAGGTGGGACACGCTGTATATACATATACAGGGTGTTTCAGACCACTCGTACCACCCATTTAAAAACTAGAGAAGTGGTTATTTCAAAAAAATAAAAACATTTTCTTTATAAATCGGGTGCGCTCTATCGAATGCTGATATTTTCAACTTCTGGTTCCGGCCGGAAACAGACGATTTAGACCGGAAATGCATTTTTTAAAATGGGACCCCCTATTTTTCATTGCATATTCTTGTAGCTTATCTCGAGAGTTTTCCAAAACACAATAATAAATTATTTTTCCATGAAGTACTTTTCGAGTTATGAGGTTTGAAATCATTTCTTAATTTTACATAAACTATAAAATATCTTGTAAAATATTCATTTTTCGATTATCTTATCTTAATATTTTTATGTACAAAATAATGAGAGGAACTGGTGTAAAGAAAACACATAGTGAATCAACTGGTGTAAAGAAAATACATAGTTGTTTCTAAAAAAAATATGTAATTTGCAATTAACAGTACTAATTTTCATTCAAAAAATCTGTTCGGGATCGCACCTGTGAGATGTGATTTTGCTTTGCCGGGACACCTGAGAGGGTATCGCGAGTTTGAAAATCACGTGATTTCGCACTGGATGAGTGACGGGATGAAATAACGTTATTACTTTGATTGTACCACAGTGACATCCACATAAGAGTGGCGATAAGTTTATTGCATAGAAATACACGATATGTACAAGATTTGTGAGCTTTCGATGCGTGTGCGACGCTATTCGAGCACGTCAAGATTCGTACTCGGTGTGGCGAAATCGCACTATACAATTGTTCCCTTAATACAATGATACAA